TGGACAGACTTGCACTCGCAGCTTTCCCCGCTAAGGCCGCAGGCGAGGGAGTTCGGGGCGATGCGGGCGCGATCGTCGGCGATGGCGACGTCGCTGCAGTCTAAGGAACGTGGGCGAGATGAAGAACCAGATATCCCGGATTAAATCAACCTACCTGGCGAGCCGGAACACGAAGGAAAGATCAGGACAGCGTGGTTGCAAATCCCGCTCCGCACAAGGGTCGCAATCAGACCACTGCGCAGACAGTTTGGTCATGTGCCTAATCGTGTTCTCGTGCAACTATTGAGAATCCCCAGATTGTCGTCGGACTACATTGAAGCTGCCAAGAGTTCTCGATGTGAATCTTGCGAACATCACAAGCCGTTAGCTCAGACTCACAAGGTTGCATTGCCCAGGAAGTTTTGTTTCAACCATGAAAGCGGTATCGACTGCCTAGAGGTGAAGGACAACCGTGGGGAACGTTACACCTTCTTGAACATAGTGTGCCAGGGTGCAACCTTTCAGCGTGTGATCTTTGTCAAACAAGGAGGTGGTGCGCCATCTTCGAGAGCATGCCTCGCTGCATTTCAGCAATGCAGGTGTGCATGGGCAGGTGCGCCCAAACGAACCGTGTTAGACCGTGAGTGTTTCTGCAATGGGTTGAGTCAAGGGATCGACCTCCGCGACGCTGGAGTCGAGTTTCCCGAGCAGATAGGCCGCGCCGAGAGACGTGGTGGACATTGGAAGAACATCCTCAAGAAAGTGCTGCACGACAAGAACGTTTCCGGACTCGATGAAGTCATCTCTACTGCATCAGAAGTCGACAACGCGAAGAATGAGATGTCACGAGTCGGCGGATTTGCGCCTGCTCAGTGGGTGCTCGGAAAGATGCTTCGTGTCCCAGGGAGTCAATTCGACGACGAGGAAGCTTTCGACTTAGGAGTGCTTGCGAGTGTTGCAGAGGAAGGGGCCGACGAGTTTTCTCGCCGGGCTGCGATCCGGACGTTTGCCAGAAAAGCATTCGCGGAACACGACGTCGGGAGTGGGGCGGCAAAGGCCGCCCTCCGAGAGGCAACTACACAAGCAGGATAATATTAGGTAGGTGATGTAGCATGCTCCCGCAAGGGGCCGACCGACGGCGAGGTTACCGCTATGTGGAGCACTGGTTCTCGTATCGTTGGGGTTATCATAGAGGGCGTGCCTGTCTGCGTGGCTGTCGACAGGCTTCGTCTGTGTGCAGCGGCGGAAGCGTTGGCTTACCAATGCCTCCCTAGGCGCCATGGCGGTGGAGTTGAAGGGCATGCACCTCCAGACGGGCAACGACAGTCATTCGTGGACGAAAGACGTGGGCTGCCAGAACCACGGGCGCAAGAGCATTCTGTGCAAGAGCATCCTATGGCGACGGAAGAGCTGCGGGGGATCCCAGAGCACCCCGAGTTCATAGAAGAAGCATTTCGCCAAATGGAAGAAGATGCGCTGTCTGATGGAATGGTCGCTTCTGTGCCGCCCACGACGAGATCACCGCAAGTGATTCGAAGGCCCCTTCAGAGATCGTCGCTAGACGACCTCCCGCACGGTATGCAGAGTCGTAACGAAGTGGTGCGCAGAAGAGTCGATAATGCCGATGGTAGCACGGGAAGGGTTTCCGATTCTGTCTCGGAGCCAGCTCCCGAACCAGCGAACCCATTTCTTGAGGCCATGCGCAGGGCTGGAACATCAGGGCCAGGCATGGATCTTCTCGCTCGTAAAGAAGCTTCACTAGCTGTTGAGCCACGTGAATCGCATGTCGGATTCTTCAATGAACGCACCGTTCATAAGCCGCAATACAATAATAAGATAAGGAGTGCAAAGAATCTGGTATATCATCGAGAATCTGAGGACGTTAAGAGCGGTTTACGACTGGCAAGACAAGACGGATGGGGAACATGGCGAAAGTTCAACGCCGCCGTAGCCATTGTGTTTGTTGCAGAATCTCATCGACGAAGGATACCGCATGGTACCTACGCAATGGACTGAGATTGGCAAGAATGAACATCTCCGTAGACCGGGTGGAACTTCGGTTGCACCGCAGTACCAGAGTAGAAGTGTCGTGCGTGGAGATCTGGAAGAGTCGTTGGGCATCCGCGCGGATTCGCCAAGGTGCGAATTGGAAGGGCTAAGGTTGATCGTATCATGGGCTGCCGGTGCAAAGAGGGCGCTCAAGTGTGCCGACATTGCATCTGCGGACTTCCAGGGCGAGGAAATCGACCGCCTCATGCTGCTGGAGCCACCGCCCGACGGACTCGAAGGAATACCGGATGGTGGAGCACTAATCGCACGTGTGTGTGTATGGCACGCGTGGCGCAGGACGTGGTTTGAGGGGACAAATCGCAAAAGGTTTGAAGCTCATGGTCTGAGGGGAGATCGTCTCATGCCTGCTTTGTTCAGTATTCACAATGGCAAGAACGAGATCACATGTATGTTAGGTACACATGTGGATGACATACGGTGGGCTGCAGATGATGAGAGCCAGAAGATCATCGATTCGGCATTATCAGAGTTTGATATTCGCGAGATCAAGTCGGATAATTTCCGTTATTGCGGTTCAGACGTTGTTCAAGATGGAGATTTCACGGCGAGCGTCGAGGCCGAGGACACTATCGAGAATATCGAAGCTGCATCCTATCCTAGAGACAGTCCCCTCACGAGAACATGCAATGAGGGCGATACAGCGCAGCTTAGATCGGTCGTAGGTGCTATGTCGTGGGTTACACGTCAGTGTAAACCCGAGCTACTGTATCGTGTGAGCAGACTGCAGGCAGCAGTGCGTCACGTTAAGGTACTCTATCTCAAAGAAGCCAACCGTGTATTAGAAGAAGCAACTCAGTCCGCTGACTGCGTTCTAGCATTCAAAAAAGGTGGAGCTGTTAAGTGGAATCGAGATAAGATTTTTCTTTTTTTGCTGGCGCCAGCTGGGCAGGAGAAGAGGATGTAGTCAAGGGTAGAATCGAGCCTCTCAGGTCACAGAGGGCTAGGTTCAATGGACTCCCAGGGCCTGGATTCATCGAGGGGAGCAGTGGTCATGTTCACCCCATTTGTATATCTAGTAGAGGTATCAAACGAGGATGTAAATCTTCACTACAAGCAGAGACCCTGACTTGCTTATGGGGTGTGGAGTCCGGTGTGCGCATTCGCGCCGCCATCGCAGATGCGCGTGGGTTGCTTGGCACAGGAAAGAAGCTGCCAACCAAATGGGAAGACAAACCAGCCATGTCTATGAGACACTTTTGGGTGACATATTGCAAAAACCTTGAGGAACATCTAATCGCCCCAACTAGGGGTAAGACAGAATATAAGCGCTTGAGTATCGATTTGGGTCGTTTAAGACAGAATATTCAGACTAATGGAACGGGAGAAGTATATATTTTATCCACGCATAGTTTGTGATAAGATCCGATGGATAAATGCAAGTATTATGGTTGTTAATTGTCTGACAAATAATATGGCTACATATTTCCTGGTGAAGATCTTAGGTGCCAGTTCGTATGACGTAACTCCAGAACCTGAATCTACCTTCAAGAAGGTCAAGCAACAACTGGCGAGGGCCAGGTTGAATGCTATCCCATCAGGGAAGTGAGTGACTGAGTCCTGGCTGCCTTTGACTTGGGTAATCCCAACATGGGAGTACTCCTGTATTGCCCCTAGGGGCTTACTGAGACCAGCGGTACTGCGCGGTCTGCCAGTTAGCTCGTGATAAAGTTTCACAGGTGTCAGATAATGCGTGTGTCACGTGTGTATATGCGCCGCTCGCCGCCGTTTGATCTCTACGGGCCCTTTTTTGCCATTGCGCTAAAACGCATCATAATCACATCGCCCACAGGACCCCATCTCTCAGGACCGCATCTTTGAACCTCCGATCCACTGCCTGTCCTTCCCAATCGAGGCCTCTATCAGAGGAGGCGGCGTGCTTCTCAGGAAGAGGAGTAGGAGGTGGAGTTCGAAATTCATCTCGTGCACCTCGTCGCCCTTCCTATTCGCCACACTTTGCTTGCACTTACGGGGTCTTACTTTCGCTTCTAAGGAGTCGGACGGATGTTCCAAGGATTCGCCACGTTCTGGCTTGTGGCCGCCCTGGTCCCGCCCGTTGCCGCCTGTGGGGTGTCGCGGGGATTCGCCATGGTCCGGCCCGTTGCCGCCCGTGTCCAGAGGATTCGATATGTTCCAGCCCGTTGCGGGCCACTGCTGCCTGCGAGGGTGTCCCGAGGATTCGCGATGCTCCGGCCCGTTGCCAGCCGTTGCCGCTCGTGGGGGTGTCCCGAAGATGCGTGCTGGCTCTTCGAAGAACGACCGCAGAGACGACGCTTGTGCATCACACAGTTTGCACACCCGCAGTGCCATAACTTATCATGTGGGGTCCACGCCAGCAAACATTTTTTGATGCGATGCCCGTTCTTGGTACATCGCCAGCAGGCCTGACACCTGAGACCTGCCCCGCCTCTCCGCTGGCGGTCTCCCGCACCTACCTTCTCTCTCCCCGTCGCTTCCCCGCTGCCGCCCCCCCCTTCCCCGCAACCTTGCCGCGCCCGCCTTCCTCGCCCGCCCTCCCCGCCTTCCTGCCTCTGCCCTCATTCGCCTGCTGCCTGTCTGGAAACCGCCCGACGGGAAGCCCAGGGGCAGTCCAAGGGAGAGCAGCCGTGCTTGAGTGCGGAGGGCGGGATGGACAAGGGCTTCGCCCTTTCCATGGCCGACCTTAGGGCCTTCGGCCAGCCATGCAAAGGGCGCTGGGGTAGCATCGACTCCCGCAGGGGGTTTTGTATTGCCTCCCAGAGGGGATAATGCTCAGGTTCCCAATGGAGGTGTTGCAATGCCCCCCGAAGGGAGTTGTAGTGTCTACCGTAGGGTTTTGCAGGGGGTATTGCTCATGCTCCCAAACGGGGTATTGCATTGTCTCCCGGATGGGGTAATGTATTGTGTGCCGCAGGGGGAATCGTGTTGTCTCCTAAGGGGGCGCTGCTCTCTCCTGGAAGTCGCGACCCTCTCAGGACGACGTGTTGGGCACTGTGGGCGTCACGTGCGAGTCTGCCGTAGCGATGGAAGAGACCAGCACGATGGACCAAAATAGCTCAGGCAGTGAGGAGCCGTGTGGTTCGCAGTTGCGACTAGACGCCACCGGCGGTGACCATGGCTCTTGGGAGAGCGCGAAGGGATCGCGAAAGAAAACATGAACTCGGTGGCTGCGATGGTGACGCCGACATCAATGCCAGGGTTTGCCTTTCATCAGGTTTCTTCTTGCTTTTTTCGAAGACAGCCAAGAGGATTACATATTACCGCCTCTGGTGGAGGTGACCGCCGACATGAGTGTTAGTGCAAGCTTTCTAAGCTTCTGGCCAGACCAGGAACGCGACCCTGAATTTATCCAGCTCCCCTCCCTGTGCTACCAGGCTCTTGCTGCGATTTCCCGCAGGTTCAGCAGCGGCTTCGGCGCTGGAGGACGACACAGGTGATGGCGGCACTCGCGGGTCGTCTCTTTTTGTTTGACAGGTTGTGAGAGTGCGCCCACTGTGTGCTTGTCGTCCTCGACATAATCGTCTCCTCCTCATCATCGTCCCACATACAAGCAGAGGGTCCCCCTGCATCAAGATGCATTACGCAGGCGTCTAGTTGTGTTGATAGGATGTCGACCCCCAAGCGCCATTACATTACCTTGCGTCACTTTGCTTTACCTGACCTTACCTTACTCTCCCTTGCCTTGCCTGGTCGTGCCGTACCTTGCCTCACCTCACCGTATCTTACCGTGCCTTATCTTACATTTCCTGACCTTACCGCGCCGTACTTTACCTCACCTTACTTTAAATTGTCATACCTTCCCTTGCGCTATTTGATTCTATGTTTGCCTACCGTGCCGTACCGTTTTGTATCTGACCTGGCCTGGCCTTATTTGACCTGACCTTACCTTACCTCACTACCTTATCTTGCCTTACCTTACCCAGGCTTACTGTCCTCTACGCTACCATACCTCATTTGTTGTATTTCTCTTTGCCCGACCTGACCTCGCCTCACTTTGGCTGGCCTTACGTTGCGTTGATTTACTGTACGTTACCCTACCTTATCTTACATCATTCAACCTCTTACCTTACCTTAACTTACCTTGCTTTGTTTTACCTTTTCTTGTTTGACCCTACGTGACCATACAAACACCTGACTCTACCTTCTGTGGCCGGACCTGACCTGCCCTTACTTGACAGACCTGACCTTTACCTGACTTGAGTCCTATTTGAATTTGCCGTGCCTTACCTTGCTTTGCCGTGCCTTACCTTCCTTTGCCCCACCTTACGCTACCGTCTTTCACCTTATATTATCCGATCGTACCTTGCGTGACTTGACCAGACCTTACCTGACCTGACTTCACTTTACTTCACTTTACTTCACCTTACCTTACCTCACCTTACCCAACCTTGCCTTACTTCTACCTTGCGTTACCTGACCTTACGTCACCCCCCCTCCTCCTCCCTCTTCCTTCTCCTCCTCACCGTCTTCTTCTCTTTTCCCGCCGTTTCGCATACGATGCTGAATCGTAATGGAGAGGAAGGCTTCTTATGCGGCGGTTTGCCAGTTCGCTTGCCAGGCTCTTGTTTGTGCGACGGCTTTCAAACTGCCCGAACCAATCATTCGCATCATACCTGCTGGTAGGATCCTCCAAGGGATTACAGCGACCGCGGGACCGCGCGACCGTGCTCAGCTGCCCCCGCCAGAAAGCCCTGTAAACATCTCTCTCCCCCTGGTCTCCTTCCTGAACATGCCTCGGGGCCCAATCGATGCAGGATTTCTAGATGACCACGAGGATTCGACGACTGACCGTGAGGCCACCAATTCGGCCCCAAGGGGCCCCAAGATAGCTGACGGCACGCCCCCCCCCCCCCCCCCCCGAAAAGTCAAACATGTGAAGCCAGGAGTCCCCAACATGATCGACGGGAGGCCCCCGACACACTGACACAGTGTAAACCCGTTAGGGTTCGATGCATGTGGGCATCCCCCGTCGAATTGCCGCCCCGCAGAATTGTCATACTGTCCGCTCCCATCCTCTTCATCGAAAGAAAATGCTAGGATATTCCCCGCGTTCCAGCCCAAAACGGCTCTGAGGCGAGCCCCGGATGCTTCCTGGAAGGTCCGCGGGGCTCTTGCGACTCCCTAGGACGGTTCTGAAGGCCTCCGCGACCGGCCAAAGCATACTTGCCTGGTACATCCCTATCCCTAAGATCGGCTTCGCCTTATCCCGACGCCGATCTAGAAGGATTCCCTCAGTTTCTGAGGGCGCGTCCCTAAGATGGTCGTCGCTTTTGGGCTTGCGAATTTTAGGGATGGGGGTAAGGTAGAAGATTGTTCAAAGTAGCCCTACAGCTCGCCCCAGGACGGTTCCACGACCGCCCTGGACCGACCCCAGAGAGCCCCAAGGCGCCCCCCAGACGGCCCCCCAGGCCGTCTACCCGAGATGAACCCCGAGACCCGGGAAGTCGCGAGGACGTCCGCCGCTCCGTTTCAAACGTTCCTCGTCTGTGACGGATGGACGGGTGCATGTGCCCGGCGGTAGAGGCACATAACCAGATGCCCAGGCTTTACCAGCTGCTTTACTTGCCTGTTCATGCTCACAGCGCCGCAGTTGTATACATGCGAGACAATGGTGCGACCAGGGGAACGAAGTATACGCATGCAGGCGGTGAAGGTTTCTGCTTCAGTGTTGCTGGGTTTCTCGTGGCTGAGTTCAGTCGGAGAGGGAGGACGTCTGGAGTAATTGGCAGCACCACATGTGAAGCCAGGAGGAACGTGATGCGGTAAGCTTCCAGCAGGTCTGAAGCACTCGCTGGTGCTGGTGGAGCTGTGCGACACCTGTCATCGTGGACGTGCCCGACATGCGATGAGCGACGTTTTCGTCTTGGCCTCGCTGTTGTTTTTTTGGCCGCCTCGTACCACACACACACACACTCTTCAGCTCTGCTAAATCTGCCGACTTCGCCGATGCTGTACATTTCTCGTTTGTGTTGTGGTGCTTAGTTTTTCGTCTGAGGTCACACTTGCCTCTGCTGCGTTCTGGTCTCTCTCTCTTTCTCTAGCTCTCTCTCGCTCTCTCTCCCTCCCGCTCTCTCCCTCTCCCCCTCTCTCTCTCTCTTTCCTTCCTCCCCTGTCTCTCCCTCCCTCCCTCCCTCCCGCTTCTCTCTCCCTCCTTCTCTCTCCCTCCCTCTCTTTCTCTCTTTTGTTCTCTCCCTCTCTCTGTCCCTCCCTCCCGCCCTCCCTCCCTTCCCCCCCTCTCGCTCTCTCTCGCTCTCTCTCTCTCTCTTTCGTTATTGTTTTCTTTCTTGTTCTCTCTCTCTCTCTCTCTCTCCCTTTCTCCTGTCGCCCAGTGAGAGATCCTAATGGCTTACGCAATTCCGCCGACCCCCAGAAGGAGGGTGATGTAGTGGCTACATTGGCTCCGTTTTCTGAGGGTCTGGGGGCTGGGACGTTGCTTGCACCAGGGAGGCGTCTCGGGAGGCATCTTCGGGGGAGAGGAGGAGGAGGAGGAGGAGGAGGAGGAGGAGGAGGAGGAGGAGGAGGAGGAGGAGGAGGAGGAGGAGGAGGAGGAGGAGGAGGAGGAGGAGGTTTTTTTTGTCAGTGCACCGCTGACGACCAGGCTCCAAGGACTAACGAGTAGCAAGGGACTGAAGGCCAGGGCAGAAAATTCAGGCGTCGGCCCAGCTGCTGACTTTCTTGGGCGGCGGCAGACCTTTACACAGCCGTGCAAGACTTCCAGCCGAGCTTTGGTTAAAGCGTGTGGCCCTAGCTCTGAAACTGGGCAAGGCTCTTTCAAGGAATCGGGGCGAGCCTTCGCCCAAGCACCACACTCTCCACAAGAATACAGAGATGCCTTTTTCCACAGCACCTGAGAGCAATGGACAGGCTTGCCGACAATCCACGGCTCGACTCGCTCAGGTAGGGGGTCGAGGCCAAGGGACCGCCATAAAGAGTCATTTCGACCGGGCGAAACTCGAGCAGGCTTCACCCACTTGCATGGGTTGTGAGTCTTCCCTCGTCCCCCGCACCCACGCGTCGCACACACACACACTCACACAAACATTCTCCTCCTCAAACGAAGCAAGGCAAGCGCTGGCTAGCCTGGCTCGCAGGGCGGGGGCGGTGTCCTTGACCTCCGCGCGGCACGAGGTACAACTCCACGTGATCCCGTCAAAGGTCCACCTATGAGAGCCACGCCTGACGTCGGCCTCGATCCACCTGCGCCGACGAAGGGCATAATCGATGGGTTGGTTCGAGAGGCGACGGTCGGGCTCGGCTTTGAGGGAGGCACACTCAAGAATCATACAGGCGTGCCGTTTCAAGACCTGGCAGGGCTGCTGGACTAAAGAACTGTGGTCTCTGACCACGTCGTCAGGTACCTGGCACTCAGCTGCTCGATTGTCAGCTAACCTATCAGCCATGGAATTCAACACTACATGATCCCAGCAGACACTGTCGATGAAACGCTCTCGCTTTTGGGAGTCCTCAAGGAAGTGAGAGGGAACATTCGAGAGGACGAAGGGGGCGAGTCGGGGATCGAGGAGCTCCCAAAGTTCCCACCACAAGTCGCTGTTGGTCAACTTGGAGCAGTGAGCTCTGCCGCCTACATACGCTTTCAGTAGGTTCACGTGGTCCGTGATAACGTGCAGGGCTTGGGTCGGATCAACCAAACGAACGATCTCAACAATCGCCGCAAGCTCTGCACGTGGCACGGTCTGACGGTCTGAGTCGAGCACTCCAGTGACTGCACAATCCCATTCAAAGTCGGAGCCTGGAACCATGCACACAAGAGAGGCAGCGACCCGACCAAGAACAGGGATCTTGGAAAACTGGCCACCCGACCAATCCGTGCCATAGAGACCACCAGGAAGCTTGCCAGGCTTGAGGGGACCAGGAAGCCGCTGGCCACGGAGCAACCTCGAATCAGGGGTCGGCGGAAGCCGAAACCACGATATAGGAATCAGCCCACCCACCCAGAAGCAAGGAATCTGAACCACTTCCTGCAAGGCTGTGTGCCTTAAGTGGTGGGTGTCGGCTATGTCGGGGGTCGGGGACCGCTCATTACACAAGCACTGCCAAACTCGATGCACATACGATTCAGCAGCACTCTTACATCGCCTACAAGAAGGGTCAGGCGCGAGCTGGGGTTCGTGGCGCCGCTCTTGTGCCCAGTAGCCACCTGCTGCGACTAACCTGAGCATGGAAGCAACATCTCGACGGCCTTCCTTTTCAGGCGAAGCAATCAACTCCCACACGTGGAAACGCGAAACAGGACCCTCAATTCCTTTGCCGTCGAGATGCTCAGACGCCTGCCTCCACTGCCGTGCATCAATTGATTTGTCGAGGGCTTCTCAAAGGGGTCCGAGGGGTCCACGGCCCTCCGCTTGCACGGTCAAGGTGTCACCAGAGGGGGAGACGAGCTCGAACGGGGAAGGCCACGGCCATCCTATGGCCAAGAGCGAGGCCTGGAACGCCCCCATCGGACCTCGGAACCACGCCCAGCCTCCACCAACCTTGTCAAGAGAGGGTTGCCAGCAACGGTGGATGCGCTGCTGGAGCGAAACATTGTCAGCAATGCGGGAAAACCAAACCTTAATCAACTTACGATAGTACATCTGAACGGGGCCCTGACCAAGTTTAAAAGTGAGCCTGATCGCAGTGGTGGCACAAGCTCCTCGCTGGGGTGTCTTGCTCGCAGCTCTGGCCATGCTGTGGAGACCCTGGAGCATGGAAGGAGCCACCCCGTGGATCTCAGGGGCCCACATGGCCTTGGCAAAGGCAGGAGGAGGAGGAGAAGGAGGAGGATGATGATGATGATGATGAGGAGGAGGAGGAGGAGGAGGGGGGGGGGGGGGGGGGGGAGGAGGGAGGAGGAGGCGGAGGAGGAGGAGGAGGAGGAGGAGGAGGCGGAGGCGGAGGAGGAGGAGGAGGAGGAGGAGGAGGAGGCGGAAGGAGGAGGAGGAGGAATACTAAATAAGAACACTAAGACGAGCACTACTACTACTACTACTACGGCGACTACGCGACGACGACGACGACGACGACGACGACGACGACGACGACGACGACGACGACGACGACGACGACGACGACGACGACGACGACGACGACGACGACGACGACGACGACGGACGACGACGACGACGACGACGACGACGACGACGACGACGACGACGACGACGACGACGACTACTACTACTACTACTACTACTACTACTACTTATATTAATAATAACAATACGACTGCTAACAATACTACGGCTACTGATAGTAGTACTACTAATAACATGACTAAGATGAATAATAGTACTAATCGTAATACTGGGGAGAACAGTCGTACTAAGAGTGATAGTACTAATAATGATAATAATCACATTAATGCGACGACGAATCGTAATACTATCACACATACTAAGACGAAGGAACATACGACTACACAGACGAATACGAATAATATTAATAATACAAATAGGAATCATACGAATAACACTATGAAGGTGAATTATACTAATAATGATACGAAGACGCATACGTCTTGGGGTCCTCTTGAGGCCATGTTTATGGCTGCGGGGGCTATCTTGTCGGAGAGGGAGGGATTCTGTGGCTCCTTCGAGCTGGCCTCCTGGGACGTTGATGGGCTCCCTTGGGCCGTCTCCAGTCTTTCTTGGGCGCTCCTCGACCCGTCTTGGGCCAGTCTGGTGGGCTTCTCGTGCCGTCTTGGGCTGGTCAGGGGAGGTTCCCGGGTGAGACTGTGAAGCTTTGAACAACAATTTCAAATAATTAGAGGGAGCGCTGATGTTTTCTCTTGAGGCCATCTTGAGGTTCCTGATGGAGGCCTCTTGGGGAGTGTAGGGAGCTCCTTGGGCTGTCCTGAGGCCGTCGTTTTTGAGGCCTCCCGTCTCAGGTGTTCTTGAGGACTCTCTGGCGTGGTGGGGCCCTTTCGGAGCCGTTTCGGAAGGCATCTTGCGCATGTTGGAGGCGACGGAGTGTGTAGGTGGAGGTTCCGATGACCCCAGAGAAGCGCGGACGAGTTCCTGTCCCCGCCCCCCGCGGCCCCCAGGGGACCCCCCCCCTCTGACAGGATTTTTGTACCCCAGGGGAGGGGGACACGGGCAGCGGGACGGCCAATCATCTCAAGGCCTTTTCACCCCGAGCCAAGCGGGGGTCGGCGGATTTTCTGCCCCTCTCTTTCTCTCTTTCTCTGTTTCTCTCTTTCTCGCTCTCTCGCTCTCTCCCTCTCCCTCTCCTTTTCCCTCTCTCTTTGTCTATCTCTCTCTCTCTCTCTTCCTGCCTCTCTCTCTTTCTTTCTTTCTTTATTTCTCTCTCTCTCTCTATTTCTTTTTTCTTCTCTCTCTCTCTCTCTTTCTTTCGCTCGCTCACGCCCACCAGCCCTCATCTTGTTTGCTACAGTCGATCCTGTCCTCACTGCACGCTCGTCAAGGCTGCCATGCCTGTGGCCATGCTAATTTTCATCCAGGCGGCTGTCATCATGTGCCCCCATCGTGTTGCTGCCATCGCCGCGTTCATCATGACCAGTCTCCCACGCATGCAGTGTCTGCAGTGTGTACAATCGGTCACCTTTAATTACTCGCACCCTGGCCCTCGTACCCTTACTCACTTGGGTCGTGATTTGTCGGTGTAACTCGCACGACAGTCTTCAGTCTGGCCACCCTCCTGCCACAGATATTCGCGACGTCGTGAAAAACAGAGCAATGTGAACAGATCATGGCCAGAGCTCCCGATCTCATGTCGAGACCAGATCTTTCGAGCAAGACCGATCTGTGATTGCCCAGGGGCCCGACACCGAGCGAGTAAGCACGAAAAACAAAAAGCGTCATGAACATGCGCTTGTGAAGGCCCGCATCGATTTATTGGGCTCCGACGCTGCCCGAGAAGCCTAAACTTTCGGAGGTCCGTGCGGATTCCCGGGGGCGGCGCTGCACCCCCTGGCTGTGCCGCCGGCGCCGCCCCCGGCGCGCTCCGCGCGCCAGGGAAGGGGAGGGGGCCAGCGCCAACCCAGGAGACCGCGCGGACCTCCGAAACTTTCTGATGCTCTTGCTGTTCATTGTCAACCTGCATAGTAAGGATGGGCACCCTGCCCAAGGGTACCCCTGCATCCCTGCCTCCTCGGTCCATCCTTGGCCACTCTCGTTGGTCGCGCTCGGCTCGAAAAGCTTCGAAATGGGCGTCCAAGGCCCTTGCATCCTTATCGCGCATCCTTATGATACGGGCCGACTGTACGGTCAGGAACTTTGGCTTAGCGCGCCGCTTCGCCTGTCCTGGCCCACCACGCTGCGGCGCGGGACGCTGTCCACTCCCCGGCCCCCCCAGCGTCAGCGTCCCAAGCTGCTTCCAGCCTCTCGCCCCGCGAGGATGAGCGCGCTCTCCGCTCTCGGGGGGGTGCAGCGTATGGCCCGGGGCCGCCGCGGCGACACGCGGGCCAAGAGTTCCCCACCGTCTTCTTCGGGACACCCGTCGCGCCTTCTCACGACGCTCAGGGCGAGGGGGCCTGGGCAGCACCACCCGCGTGGCCGCCGCTGTCGCCGCCACCTCCGCCGGCGCCCGCATCGTCGTCGGCGTCTCTGGCCGGAGCCTTTTGGGTCCACCGCGGCCTCCGCCTCGGTCCCGCACCGCCCGCACCGCCCGCAGAGCCTGCGCCGGCCATGTCCAGCGGCAGCTCGACCGGCCGGCACTCTCGCCGCGGCGGCGCTCGGCGCGGCACCGGGGGCTCCTGGACCCGACTTCGGATCGGGATGCGCGTGGGGGAGTGCCGGGAGGAGGAAGAGGACGAGCAATTATTCACGAGAGAGAAAGAGAGGGAAGCCGCGCACGTCAGAGGTGCACTGGCAAGAGGAGCGACGCGACAACACGTACGATTGGTCGCATCTCCATGGGCAGGGAAAATTTCAATATCTCGTCATGCATACCCCACGCGCCAAGATGCCCGCAAGGTGGACAACCCGGGAGAGTGACGGCGGCAGGGAGGCAGAGAAGGGAGCGACACCCGGGGATCAGGACGAGCGGGGGGGGGATTGACGGAGACGGGGATTGGAAGGATGGTGAGATATGCTGAGTGGGAAGCGTGATGACGAGACTTGGGTGGACTGGCCAGCGAGCCGTTGACCCTGGGTCGATGAACAAAAGCGATCACTTGGTAACCGCTGATCGCGTGGCCCGTTGCTCACGATTGGACCGGCTTCCGATTGCGCGAACACTGACTGCGCACGGGGCTTAGCTTGACCACCTGATCGGAAGAACGATGGACGACGAGCCTGTGCTCGGCTGGGACACCCCCATCTTTCTGTGTACTGATGCGAGCCCCTTCCGCCCATTCTTGTTGGGAGCAGGAGAGGAGGGGGTGGGCATAATTTCATACAACACGAGTCTCCCATTGTGCGCTGCGCGCGCAGGAGGCGCAATCGGACCGCGCGGAGGCTGTTCTGATCGGCGGAGTGAGCGGCAAGGACTCGGGAAGCCCCGCGGCGCCGGCCCCAAGGTTCCAGCACGCAGGCGGCGGCGCCGGAAGGCGGCGGGGCCATCTGCGAGCCCCTCAAGGCGCTCATAAACGACCAGCCAGTGAGCGCCGAGGCAAACATGTCGCAGGCACTGCTGCTGCCCATCCTGCGCCGCCTGCTCGCGCCTCAGATCACCTCGATCTCGCGTCCAGCGCGCGCTCGAGTCGTGCCGCGCAGGCGTGCGATCGTTCAGTTCTTCTCTGCGGAACGCCCGTGCTCGGCGCGCTCCCCTCTCCAGCCGTGCTCGCGCGATCCCAGGGCCCTCCGCTCGGCCGCGATCGTGTCGGCGGGCGGCCACAGCCCGCCCGTGGTGCCTCCAAGGCCCACGCCAGGCCGGAGCCTCGCCAGCGCGGTGCCCCCGCCAGAGGCGCCGGAGCCCTGGAACAGCTCGGGCGGTGCGGCCGGTGCCCCCGCGCCGCTCGCGGGTGGCTACCGGGAGCGGCTGCAGGCGCAGGGGCAGCAGGCGATGCAGCGCTCGGGGAGGCCAGACGCTGCGGCTGCGGCCGCGCCCGCCACCGCCCCGCCAGTCGCCCCGCCGGTCGCGCCGCCGGTGTCGCCCCTGGGCATGGTCTCGCCGCAGGCCGCTGCGTGGGGAGCCGCGCAGATGCAGCAGCTGCAGCAGATGCAGCAGCTGCAGCAGCTGCAGCGCTGGCTCGGAGCCACGGCGTCGGGGGAGCCCAAGTGGGTGCACGCGCTCGTGCCCCTGGCACACAGTGTTCTTGGAGTATAACAGACAGTTTTTCTAGAAGGGGACGGCCAATACAAATTTGCGCAGTTCGTGTCGTTCTCGTCATCGTTGTGGATGTCGTCGTCAGACTCATTTCTGAAGAAGGGTTTTAGTGTGATCCTTGTGTGTTGTGCTCCTGTTTTTTTTCCGCAATTGACGTGGCCCCGTCGGCTCTCACACCCTGTTTTTGCTAGGGGTGGTCTTCTTGGCCAAGGTGTGTTGTTGTGCCCCTGGGCCACGGCTCCCGCGTGATACGTCGTCACGATGCACTCAGGAATCGTCATCTATCTTGTTTGAGATCTCACTGTGCCCAGGAACCACATTCTCGCCTTCAAGGAACCGTGCCTTCGCCTGGGCCTTCCTCATTGATCTGCCAATTGCACCCTCGCTTTGGGCTTCCTGCCGAATTACTCGGGGATCGCTTGGCACGAGCCGCCTTTTGGGGTCCGCCAGCCCAGCCCACCCGTCAGGGTCCGCCCACCCGACCCCGACCCGCCAGCTGCCCGTTCGTTTGCTTGGAAACGCGCCCGCCCGCTTTGCTGCCGCACCCGCCCGCCCGTCCCGTCTGTCAAGGCCCACCCACCCGACCCGCCCGTCAGGATCGGCTCGCCTTGGTCGTCCGTTAGGGCCGGCTCGGTCTACCACGCTTGTGTTATCTTGTCGAGAGTTACCCAACAGAGGATCCCTTTGCACATGGGGTCGTTCACAAGTGCAGAGGGCGGGAATCGGGGGGGGGGACATGCCTGTTGAATGGCACGTGAGCAACTAAAATCGTTCAGTCGTGCAAATGAGTTTCGTTCTTTCTGTAGTCTTCTTCGTCGTCTTTGCCGTCGTCGTCTTTGTCGTCGTCGTCGTCGTCGTCCTGTGCTCTTCCTTGCCTCCAAGGCGGGCATGCCGCTGCCCCAGCCGCTCCAGCCGCCGTCCCCTTGTGGCTTGCCGATGCCTGGGTGCAGCATGCCGCAGGCCACCTCCCCGTCCCCAACCCTCTTGGTCGACGCGGAGACATCACCACGTGCGTTTTCGTGCCGTTTTGGCTTTGGGACCGTCACGGATCGAACAATGATGGTGTCGAGGGCTTTGGTGTTGCTGTGTTGCACGACGTCGTGCTTTTGCACGACGTCGGACGTCGGGGTCCTTTCCTCCTACGTCTCCTCCTTCACGATTGGACCGCCGCGCGTCGTGGTCGTGGTAGTAGTCGTGGTCGTGGTCGTGGTCGTGGTCGTCGTCGTGGTCGTGGTCGTCGTCGTCTTCGGCGTCGTCGTCGTCGTCGTCGTCGTCGTCGTCGTCGTCGTTGTCGGCGTCGGCGTCGGCGTCGTCGTCGTTGTCGGCGTCGGCGTCGGCGTTGGCGTCGGCGTCGGCGTCGGCGTCGGCGTCGGCGTCGTCGTCGTCGTCGTCGTCGTCGTGGTCGTCGGCGTCGGCGTCGGCGTCGGCGTCGGCGTCGGCGTCGGCGTCGTCGTCGTCGTCGTCGTCGGTGTCGTCGTCGGCGTCGTCGTCGTCCGGCGTCGTCGTCGGCGTCTGCGTCGGCGTCGGCGTCGGCGTCGTCGTCGTCGTCGTCGGCGTCGGCGTCGGCGTGGCGTCGCGTCGGCGTCGGCGTCGGCGTCGGCGTCGTCGTCGGCGTCGGCTGTCCAGAGGCGAGCCTGATGGGTAGCTGCGGGCCCGTGCCGCCCTCGCCGCTGGCGCAGTGCGGGGTGCAGCAGCTGCCGCACGTGCCAGGCGTGGCGGGTGGGGCGGGTTGGTCACGCGCGGCCTCGCCCCCCGCCCCCCCGCCCCGCCCCCCGCCCTTCATGAACAGGAGGACGGGAATCAAAGGGGGAGGAGGGAGGCAAGGAGGAGGAGGAGGAGGAGGAGAGGAGGAGGAGGAGGAGGAGGAGGAGGGATGAAAAGGAGGGGGGTAGTGGGAGAGGGTAGGATACACATACAACAGCAGTACACGTCGGTGTGGTCAAATCAGGCACAAGGGGCCATCGTCCCTGGATCAAGCGTGGAAAGGATCGCGGAATCAGCAGTGCCGCCGAAGGAGGGTGGACAAGGAGGCGGAGGAGGAAGACGACGACAAGGCAGGAGAACCACTAGGTCAAGGAGGAGGAGGAGGAGTAGGAGGAGGAGGAGCAAGAGGAGGAGGAGGAGGAGGATGAGCAAGACGAGGAGGAGGAGAAGGAGGAGGAGGAGGAGGAGGACAAGGGCGGCGGTTCGTTAGCCTACGTCGGCGCATCGACAAGGAGGATGAGGGAGGAGGAGGAGGAGGAGGAGGAGGCGGAGGCGGAGGAGGAGGAGGAGGAGGAGGAGGAGGAGGGAGGAGGAGGAGGAAAAGGAGAGGAGAGGAGGAGGAGGAGGAGGCGGAGGAGGGAAGAGAGGAGGAGCGAGGAGGAGGAGGTCTGGAGGAGGAAGGAGGAGGGGGGAGGAGGAGAAGGAGGAGGAGGAGGAAGAGAAAGAATAATAAGAATACTAATACTAATAATAATAATAATAATAATAATATTAATAAAACTTTTAATAATAATAATATTAATAATAATACTAATAATAATAAGAATACGAATAATAATAAGAGTAATAATAGGGAGACGAATAATCATAACAATAAGAGTTATGAGAAGAATAATAATAATAAGAAGAGGAGGAGGAGGAGGAGCAGGAGGAAGAGGAGGGAGGAGGAGGAGGAGGAGGAGGAGCAGGAGGAAGAGGAGGGAGGAGGAGGAGGAGGAGGATCAGGAGGAGGAGGAGGAAGATGAGGAGGAGGAGGAGGAGGAGGAAGAGGAGGAGGAGGAGGAGGAGGGAAGGGGGATGATGATGGTGATGATGATCATGATGATGATGATGATGATGATGATGATGATGATGATGATGATGATGATGATGATGAGTAGGATGCTGCTGATGATGCTGATGATGATGATGATGCTGCTGCTGATGATGATGATGCTGATGCTGATGCTGATGATGATGCTGATGAGGATGATGATGGTGATGATGATAACGATGATAATGATGAGGATGTTGCTGATGAGGATGATGCTGATAATGATGATGACGATGCTGATGATGCTGATGATGATGATTCTGATGATGATGATGATGATGATGATGATGATGATGATGCTGCTGATGATGATGCTGATGATGATGATGATGATGATGCTGATTTTGATGATGATAATGAGGAGGCGGAGGAGGAGGAGAAGGATGAGGCGGAGGAGGTGGATGAGAAAGAGGAGGAGGAGGAGGAGGAGGAGGAGGAGGAGAAGGACGAGGACGAGGACGAGGGCGGCGGTTCGATAGCCTACGTCGGTGCATCGAAAATGCGGAGGTTGAGGAGGAGCAGGAGGAGGAGGAGGAGGAGGAGGAGGAGGATGAGGATGGGGATGAGGATGAGGATGAGGATGATGATGATGCTGATGATGATGGTGGTGGTGGTGGTGATGATGATGCTGATCATGATGATGATGATGCTGACGATGATGATGCTGATGATGATGATGATGCTGATTATGATGATGATGATTATGCTGATGATGATGATGCTGATGATGATGATGATGACGATGATGCTGATTTTGGTGATGATTATGAGGAGGAGGCGGAGGAGGAGAAGGCGGATGATGAGGAAGTGGAGAAGACCAAGGTGGAGGAGGAGGAGGAGGAGGAAGGGGAATAAGAATAATAACAAGACGAGGACGGAAGAATAAGAAGAATAATACGATACGAAGAAACAGAAGAAGAAGAAAAAGAAGAAGAAACATAATAATAATAATAATACTAAGAATAATAATACGAGGAAGAAGAAGAGGAGGAGGAGGAGCAGGAGGAAGAGGAGGGAGGAGGAGGAGGAGGAGGAGGAGGAGGAAGAGGATGAGGAGGAGGAGGAAGAGGAGGAGGAGGAGGAGGAGGAGGAGGAGGAGGAGGAGGAGGGAAGGGATGATGATGATGATGATGATGATGATGATGATGATGATGATGATGATGATGATGATGATGATGATGATGATGATGTTAATAATGAGTAGGATGATGATGATGATGCTGATGCTGATGCTGATGATGATGATGAGGATGATGTTGGTGATGATGGTAATGATGATGATGATGATGATGATGATGATGATCGTGATGACGATGATGATGAGGATGTTGCTGATGTTGCTGATGAGGATGATGCTGATAAGGATGATGACGATGCTGATGATGCTGATGATGATGATGCTGACGATGATGATGCTGATGATGATGATGCTGATTATGATGATGATGATGATGATGATGATGATGATGATGATGATGATGATGATGATGATGATGATGCTGATTTTGATGATGATGATGAGGAGGTGGAGGAGGAGGAGGAGAGCAGGAGGCGGAGGAGGTGGAGGAGAAAGAGGAGAGGAGGAGGGGAGGAGGAGGAGGAGGAGGAGAAGGACGAGGACGAGGACGAGGGCGGCGGTTCGATAGCCTACGTCGGTGCATCGAAAATGCGGAGGAGGAGGAGCAGGAGGAGGAGGAGGAGGATGAGGATGAGGATGAGGATGGGGATGAGGATGAGGTATGAGGATGAGGATGATGATGATGATGCTGATGATGATGATGGTGGTGGTGGTGGTGATGATGATGATGCTGATGATGATGATGATGATGATGATGATGATGAGGATGATGCTGACGATGATGATGCTGATGATGATGATGATGATGAGGATGATGATGATTATGATGATGATGATGATGATGATGATGATGATGATGATGATGATGATGATGATGATGATGATGATGATGATGATGCTGATTTTGGTGATGATTATGAGGAGGCGGAGGAGGATAATGAGGAGGATGAGGAGGTGGAGAAGAAAAAGGCGGAGGAGGAGGAGGAGAAGGAGAAGGAGGAGGAGGAGGAGGAGGAGGAGGAGGACGAGGACGAGGACGAGGCCGAGGGCGGCGGGTCGACAGCCTACGTCGGCGCATCGAAAAGGATGATGATGATGATGATGATGATGATGATGATGATGATGATGATGATGATGATGATGATGATGATGATGATGGTGATGGTGATGGTGATGGTGATGGTGATGGTGATGATGATGATGATGATGATGATGATGATGATGATGAGGAGGAGGAGGAGGAGGAGGAGGAGGAGGAGCAGGATGACGAGGACGAGAAGGAGAAGGACGATCGCCGCTGATATGGGACGTGTGGCCTGGCACGGCGCCCAGAGCTCTCTCTCTCTCTCTCTTGCACCCGCCAGGGACGCCTGTCGCCGCCAGCGCCCCGCCGCTCACCCCGTCGCTCGCGGGGGGGCAGACGCCCCAGGAGCTGCTCGCGTCGGTCATGCCGAACGCCTTGGGCATGGACACGGGGCGTTCCAGAATCGGCCTCGCCTTCGGCGCGTCTCGCCTTCGGCGCGTCTCGGCTTCGGCGCGTCTTGGCTTCGGCGCATCTCGCCCCTGACGCGTCTTGCCTTCGCGGGAGACTGGCGGAAGTGAAACGAATGGCGGAGGGTCCTCCAGTGGAGGCCAGCGGAAGTTCTATCGGATTTCGAGACACAGGGCTTTTGGAGTCGGCCGCACGTCTCGGGCGACGAAACTGGCCCTGGCCAGGCCCATCTTGGGCCCAAGATCGGTGTATACGCCCTCCGGAAACATCCTCCGCCTCCCCCGCCTCCTCCCCCTCACTCTCCGTCTTCCTTTCTTCCCTTATACACTTACTCAATATGAAAATACTCTCCCTCTTCCCCTGATGGCGTCCGGGTGATGGCCGCGCACCCTCCGCGTACTGTTTTTTAACACACAGGATGCCCGGGAAATCCCGGGAAACGACTCTCGCTGAGGCGCCGGCGTCATTTTTTTCCCAAAATGCTGCTCTCGTTGCGGCGCCGGCCTCATTTCTGCTCCCGAATCGTTCCGAATCGTGCTCCCGCTGCAGCGTGGGCCTCATTTTCGGATCGGTGTTTGGCCTCCGTCGTTCAGGATGGCGTTCTCGCCCCAGCGCGGGCCTTTTTCTCGCGCGCCCATCCGCCCGCCACCACCGCGCCGCACCGCCACCATCACCACCACCACCACCACCACCACCCCATCGGTGTTTGGCCTCCGTCGTTCAGGATGGCGTTCTCGCCCCAGCGCGGGCCTTTTTCTCGCGCGCCCATCCGCCCGCCACCACCGCGCCGCACCGCCACCACCACCACCACCACCACCACCACCACCACCACACCCACCACCAGCACCAGCACCAGTACCAACACCACCACCACCACACCACCACAAACACCAGCACCACCACCCACCACCATTCACACCACACCACCCCACCACACCACCCACCAAACAACCACCACCACCACCACCACGCAACCACGCACACACGCACGCACGGGGTGTGCACGGCGCTCTGGGGGCGCCACACTACGCACGCGCGCGCGGAGCCACAGGTCCGCTACGACACGCGTCCGCGGATAGAGAAAATCAGCGCCATGGTAAGGGATGGGATGGAGGGGTAGGACGTCAGATCTGACGCGAGCGCACCTAGCTTGCCCCCTCCCCCTCTCCCTCCCCCTCCCCCGCCCCCTCCCCCTCTCCTTCTCCCTTCCCTTCCACAATTACTCAATATGAATATACTCCCCCTCTTCCCCTGATGGCGTCCGGGTGATGGCCGCGCACCCTCCGCGTACTGTTTTTTTACAGGATGCCCGGGAAATCCCGGGAAACGACTCTCGCTGAGGCGCCGGCGTTATTTTTTCTCAAAATGCTGCTCTCGCGCCGGCGTCATTTTTTCCTAAAATGCTGCTCTCGTTGAGGCGCCGGCCTCATTTCTGCTCCCGAATCCTTCCCCTGATGGCGTCCTGGTGATGGCCGCGCGCCCTCCGCGTACTGTTTTTTTACACACAGGATGCCCGGGAAATTCCGGGAAACGACTCTCGCTGAGGCGCCGGCGTCATTTTTTCCCAAAGTGCTGCTCTGGTTGAGGCGCCGGCCTCATTTCTGCTCCCGAATCGTTCCGAATCGTGCTCCCGCTGCAGCGTGGGCCTCATTTTCGGATCGGTGCTTGGCCTCCGTCGTTCAGGATGGCGTTCTCGCCCCAGCGCGGGCCTTTTTCTCGCGCGCCCATCCGCCCGCCACCACCGCGCCGCACCGCCACCACCACCACCACCACCACCACACCACCACCAGCACCAGCACCACCACCACCACCACCACACCACCACCACCACCAGCACCACTACCACCACCATCACCACCACCACCACCACCACCACCATCACAACCACCACCACCACCACCACCCCCACCACCACCACCACCACCTAGCACCACCACCATCACCACCACAACCACCCACCACAACCACACAGCACCTAGCCACCAGTTACCACACCACCACCAGCACCACACCCCACAGCACCCCCCCCCCATCACCACCCCCCCCCCTACCACCACCACTACCACCACCACCACACAACCACACCACCACCACCACCAGCACCACCACCACCACCACCACCACCACCACCACCACCACCACCACCACCACACCACCACCACCACCACCACCACCACCACCACCACCACCACCACCACCACGCACACACGCACGCACGCACGCACGCACGCACGCACGCACGCGCACCACCACCCACTACGCACGCGCGCGCGGAGCCACAGGTCCGCTACGACACGCGTCCGCGGATAGAGAAAATCAGCGCCATGGTAAGGGATGGGAGGGAGGGGTAGGACGTCAGATATGACGCGAGCGCACCTAGCTTGTCCTTCCCCCTCCCCGTCCTTCCCACCTCCCCTCCCCCGCTCCCCCCTCCCTCTCCCTTCTCTCATGCATCGTCTCCTCCTCCTACTCCTCCTTCTCCTCCTCCTCCCCCTCCCCCCCCCTCCCTCCTCCCTCCTCTCTTCTCCTCCCTCCATCCTCCCTCCTCCTCCTCCTCCTCCTCCTCCTCCTCCTTCTCCTCCTCCCCCCCTCCTCTCTGGGGCAGGACAGGACGGAGATCGAGTCGCAGCTGCTGGCGGCCGCCAACCAGATCGAGCCCCGCGCTCGGGGCACGCTCTCTGCAGGCCACCCGCGCGGGCGCGAGGACGGCCCGCGCTCTGCGCTCCGCGCTCCGCGGTCCCAGGCTGGAGGACCAACGTTCTCCAAGGCGAGATGGTGCCCCTCGCCTCGCGCCCACGTGCGGGCTGGGGACTGGGGGGGGGGAGCGGTCGGCAGGGGGCGGGGTGCGCTGGTTCGGCCCTGGCCCCAGCCCCCTCCGGCCGCACGCAAGGGGGGCCCCAGGCAATCACAACCTTCGGTGTGCGGCTGCAGGGGGCCGCGGGGTGGGGGGGAGGGCAATTCTAAATGTGCCAGCCAGGGCGTTGGGAGGGGCGCTGTAGGCCCGTACCGAAGGTCACTCCGGGGAAGGGCCATTTTTGTGCGTAGCCGACCCCTGCCGTCCTGCGGGCACGAAGGGGGCGGTCATGCCTTAGTTACGCACTAGGCCGAGTCGGCAGGGGGCGGGGCCAGGACGCGAAATGTTGCGTGCTTTATGCGGAGGGATGCGCGAGGTCAGGTGACCTATCAGCCTCCCGAATGAAAAACTGCGCGAAAGCTGCCATGGGGTCTTGAGGTCATCTTCGGTACGCTCTGAAGTCACACTGAGGCCATGCGGCCATCTTCAGGTCTTGCTGGTCTCACGGGGTCATAGTGGAGCCGTCTTGGTATCGCCTTGCGGTCATTTTGGAGGCATTGGTTCATCTGGGGGTTCACGTTGGGGTCATGGTGCATTTGGGGGCCATCTTGGGGTCGCGGGGTCGTCTTGGGCTCATCCAGTGGTCATTGGGCCATCGTGGGGTCATCGTGAGGTTATTGGGTCCATCTCGCTGTCTTTTGGGCCGTGGGTTCGCCCTGGACTCATCTCGGGCCCGGGACCAGGGGTTCGCTTACGGGGGGCCATCCTGGGATCCTCTTGTGGCCTCGGGGCCATCGTGGGGTCCCGAGGCCATCCCGAGAGCACCCTTGGAGTCACCTTGGAGGGGGCATCCGTGGGGCGGCGAGGCGCCGCTCGGCAGGGGAGGCGCCCGCGTGTCCCCTGCCCCCCCTCCCCCCCCTTGTCCGACGCTGGCGGGGGTGTGGCCGCCACGTGCCGTGCGTCCTTTGGGGTGGGGGCTGGCGGGGGGAGGGGAGCATGCTGCTTCGCACGAGTTTGATGCCCATGAATCGAAGACGACCTGTATCCGTCAGTGGGTAGGTCTTGTGTGCTGACGTAGACGCTGTGCTGCTTCTTTTGGGTAGTGGGCCAGCTTCTGGTGCCAGCCCATGCCCACCCCGTCCCGTCCCCAGGGAGTTCGCAGCCCCCTATGATGGTGGGATGCGGCAACGTCGGCGGGGGATAGGCTCATGGGGGGGATGCGTCGGCCCCCGATCGCCCCCATCCCCCCCTCGATCGGTGCCCGATGGCTCACCCCGCCCAGGAGTGTGCGTATTCGCCATCGGGGACCTATCGCCCATCTGTCGGCGAGGTATCGCCGATTCCAGATCGATGTGTCCCCCCGCTCCCACCCCCACTCCCCCTGAGCCAGTTCCCCCCTGTCGTTTTCCCTCGGGGGGGCATTGCTGAGTCTGCCCGTCAAGTTTTTTTTCGGTGGGGGGGGGGAGGGGGTGCAATGCGTAAGCCTTGCGCCAGCCCTCGGCACGGCGCTGGGGAGGGTTAGTAAGCTGTGTTTTTGGCAAGGAACTCTCTGGTTGGTGCTCGTCTGGACCACGTGCGGCTGAAGGCTGCAGGCCAGTGCCTACAAAGTGTCAATAGCTTTCCCCTCCGAGGCTGAGCAGGAGCAGATAACAGGGCGAGAAAGCATAGAACAGCGAGCGAAGAGACGCAAATAATGCCCGCCGACCGCCCAGCCGAACGCGATCTCGGCCGATCTTCGACCGCGCGTTGACCAATCGCGCGACCAGACTGGTCCGCTCGTGTGGTCGCCCCCGCTCGTTCGGCCTGGGATCGCTGTATTGGCCATCGTGGCCTGGACCATGGCCAGATCTCTTGAACGGGGGCTGTGGTGGGCAGTGCAAGCGGCCATGCACATGAGGTCCTACGACGACTGAGCTGGCGGGTGCAAAAGGCTGATGCGCGAGTGAGGCCAGCCCAATCGCGTGTGGGCAGATGCATGCAGTATTCCGTGGTTTTTAATCGTGCCGCCCTCTGCCTCCAGCATCCTCCTGCTGCTGCTGCTGCTCCTCCTTCTCCTCCTCTTCCTCCTTCTCCCCTGCTTCGCTCCCGCTGGTAGCCGAGGTAATTCAGTTTCAGTTTTTTGCTGACGTGCAGCGCTCAGCAGTGAGCGGCGTCGACGTTTGCCGATCGGCTCCCATGCTGACAATTAGTGGACTTGCTGATGCTTTCCGTTTTAAGCGTCGGAATCAGGGGGGTAAGCAGGAGGGATACGCATTACGCACTTCGCCTTGCTGATCCTGTGAGGCATGCGCATGCAGCGAGTGATGAGCATGTCGTGGGGGCGTGCGGAGAGAGCTGCTTACACACGCAAAGTCAGACCCTAATTGCGTAGCACCCCGCAATTGCGGATAAGAGTGATGAGGCGGGCGCGGGTGGATCGCGGATGGGTCGCGGGGTGGGTCGCAGGTTCGGTCGCGAGGTGGGCCGCGGGGTGGGTCGCGAGGTGGGTCGCGGGCGAGGACGACGACAACAACAATCATTTTAAGACTGTTTGCTCCGATCTGCTCGCGTGCAATTCAATACGCAAATCCCTAGCCCTCGGTGCCCGCCCTCGTCGTTTTCGATCGCGCCCCCTTCCGGGTATATCTCCCTTACCTACCACGTGCATTTAGCGCAGCCCCTAAAGCAGAGGAAGGGAGGAGGACGGATGGAAGGGGGAGGGAGACGAATGGAGCACGAGAGAAATTCTAGACGCTTCGCGTATCCCCACCAAGTTTGCAGGCGCCTTCCGCTGACTACATTCCGACTACACCATGTTGGGTCTTCGACTGTCTGTGTCGCCACATGGCTCTCCTCCTCCTCCTCCTTTGTATTCAACTGATTTGCGGCTATCGGCTGCGTCCCCCCCTCTTCCTTCACGACGACTGCAGTGGCGGGCCCTTCGACGTGTTCGTTCCCACGCAATAGGGTGCGCTCATTGTGGCACTGGCAGGTCGGCCCACACCGGCTTCCTGCACCTGGGGCGCAGTTTGGCAGGGACGTGCTCACCGGTCTGGCGTCCCGCCAACAGCTTGCCTGCGACGTCGACTTCCTCTGGAGGGCTCCTTGATTCGGACTCCAGTGGTGCAAGGCGGTCAGGCGGCTCTCATTCTTTCGCCCACCGGCAGTTCACAGCCGACGGTTGGTGGTAACGTTCTGGCCCACGTGACGTTCCCCCCTTGTGCATTGTTGTTTCTACTCGACTTCACGTCAAGTCCGCTGGCGCCTGGTTCTGTGGAGGCCAAGCTTCGAGCACATGAGGTGCTTTGTGAGTGAGGCTTACGTGCTCCTTTCTGCTCGCCTTCGTTGCACTTTCACGGGCGGGCTTCTGCCAGGGTTTCAGCTGCCCGCTGTGCCCTGCCCTTCGCCGTCCGGTCTGTCGGGTGCTGGCGCCACTGTGCGACGCCCCGCTGTCCGTCGTCGGCTGCCGTATTGGCTCGGCTTAGTGAGGTTCATTTTGTTCCTCGCATGTGCATTCCGGCGTTGGCTTTTGGCCCGCTGGCAGTTATCTTGCTTGTTGCCCCAAGCTTGTTTCGACCCGCTCTCTGGAATCGTCCTTGGAGCCGCTGATCAAAAAATATCCCCACCAAGGGCAAGCGCTATTTTCCCAGAGGAGATGACCCATGCGTTGACAAGCGTCCACGAGGTTGGGACTCCTGACCTAGATGACGGGGACGCAAGGAGGGGCCCGCTCGAGACTGGCCCACCCCCCACCGCGGCAACACCTTCCGCCATGGTTGGCACCCTCACCTCAGGAATGCCCGCAACCTCGGCACTGGCCAGCTCCCTAAGGGCTCCAGCCGTGGTGGCGCCTCTCTCGGTGGCAGTCTGCGAACCGGCGATCGCCACGGCCCACCTCCTGTATCACCTTTCGTGCAGTCTGCTGTGTGCAGCTCACACCGTCTCCCACCCCCCTGCGGCTCCACTCCGCCCGGCATTCGCCGCCCCCGCCCCCCCCCCCCCCCCCCCCCCCCCCCCCCCCCTTTAGGACAGTTTCACCTGCAGCGCCTGGCCTTGGCCGCAATACCCTGTGCTACCCCCGCTGGGGCGGAGGAGCACCAATACCATAGCGTGCGCAGATAGACAGCCCACGCTGGATTCGTGGACCTTGCCAGGCCTCTCCTCCCCTGCGGCCGACTGGGGCGTCTTCGTCTGCCGCACGGGGCCACGGCCACTGCCTCCCTCGGTGGGGGCCACTGCTAGCGTGGGCTTTGGGGTCGTCTGCAGTCATCCCTCCGGGCCCCACACTCCCGCTGTCCAGGACAACCCCTTTGGACGGCAGTGACATGTGGCTGAAATAACCCAGCTCCTGCGCTCCACCTCTTTCACAGTGGACGGCAGTGGTTGGTGACCGACATTAACCCACCGCACCACCTTCGCCCTACCCGTGTGCAGCCTCGCCCCCCCTGTGGTCATGAAGTTCTGTGCATGGGTGCCCTGTGTCCCCATCTTTATCTGTGTCCAGCGGCTTTTGGCTGCGCCCCCTCCTTCTCCTCCTCCCCTCCTTGGCTATCGTCTCTGCGGCTTTTGGCTGCGCCCCCCCCCGCCCAACAGCGTAGATTGCATTGGCCGCAGAAGCGCGTCCGCCCTGAGACCTGCCCAGGGAACAGCGGTCCTTCCCTCGTCGCCGACCCGGCCATGGTTCTACTACAAGGACGCCTTGGCACGCCGTCAGCACGCCGCCATCGAACGGTACGGCCCAGCAGCTCTACAGCTGCCAGCCATCTGTACGCCCTGGCGTCGGAGGTATCCGGCTTCTGCACGGGCAGCGTGGCAGGTGTTGAGTGGGTGTGGCCGTCCGCCATGCACATGGTGGTTGGCTTCGTCAAAGTGAACGGCCCCGCATCGAGTGGTTCAGCCTTCGGCGGTCCATGTTCGTTTCGCTCTTCTCGGTGCAGCCTCAGCCCCAGCCCTCGTCAGTACAATTGCATTGTTGTGCCCCCGAACTGCGTGAGTCGGATACGATGTAAGGGCACAGGCTACCTGCTGGTGGTTGCCAGCCTCGTGCACGCACACCAGTGGTCCGCCTCTTACTGGATGGTGCTCCGACACCCCTCAGTGACACTGGTGTTCAGCGGCTTTTGGCTGCGCCCCCCTCCTGCCCTGAGATCCGCCCTGGTTCGTCGCCGACCCGGCCAAGGTTCTACCACAAGGACGTTTTGGCCCGCCGTCAGCACGCCGCCTACGCACGGTACGGCCCAGCAGTTCGGTAGCCGCCAGCCATCGGTTCCCCACCGGCGTCGGGATATTCGGTTTCTGCACGGGCAGCGTGGCAGGTGTTGAGTGGGTGCGACTGTCAGCCATACACCTGGTGATAGGCTTCGTCAAGTGAGTGGCCCTGCTTTGAGTGGTTCAGCCTTCTGCAGTCCGTGGTCGTTTCTCTTTTCGGCGCAGCCTCAACCACCAGCCCTCGTCAATACATTGCATCGTTGTGCCCCCGAACTGCGTGAGTAGGATACGATGTGCACGCTCTGGCTACCGGCTGGAGGTGGCTCAGCCTCGTGAGCGCACACCAGTGGTCTTCCTCTACTGGATGGCGCTCCGACGCGGATCAGCCACACCTCAGCTCCAGTGAGCCTTGGTGAGTCAGGCCTCTTTCGCCGCACCATCGTTTACCTGTGGTGCTGCAGTGAGTCTGAGTTAGTCGCTCTCGCTCGCGCTCACCCCCCTCTTTTTCCGAGGTCATGGACGGCCTGGTCCTGTGTGCACGCACGTGGGCTTCGCCTGGTCATTGGCCATTCGGACCAGCGTACTGCCTGCGACTTTTACAGTGCCCCGCTGTCCGTCTTGGCCTCGCTTCCGAATGCGGTTCGGCTGGAGCTTGGCGCCGCAAGGGCGACTTCTCCCCCCCGTTCCGCTGCAGGTTGCCGCGCCTTTTGCTTCCCCACCAGCCGGGATGTCTGGGCCGGTCACCAGCCGACGCTGTATTGCGTCTCAATGAGGGGCATTTTGTCCCTGGCATGTGCATGCGCCACTGCGTGTGTTGTCCGCTGGAGTCTGCGGCAATCTCGCGCCAATTTACATCGTACCGCGCCCCGGGCGTTGTGCCCGCTCCATGTCCTTCGCCTTGGAGCCGCAAACCAAAAAAGTATCCCCACCAACCCTTCCAGAAGCGACGCCCAGGCGAGTAGAGGGCCGTCCTGCGGGGCTTTTCGGCGTCTTGGGTGCCTCGGGGGGGGGCCTCTTTGGGCCGCTTGGGATCCTCTTGGGGGCTTCCTGGGGGCCTCTTGGAGGCCTCTTGGGGGCATTTTGGGGCACTCTTGGGGCCTCCAGGGCGCTTCTTGGGGCCATCTTGGAGGAGATCGATCTCAGGAGGGGGGGGCACTAATTGGCGTCCCCCCCCGCAGGAGGCCAACGTGGGGCCAAAACCATAGTAACATCAATGATTTTGGCTTCCTCGCCGAGGCCGTTTTGGACGCCCGGACATCTCCCCGCCCCTCCCGTCCAGGTCCACGGGGAGGGGGTAGGGGGAGGGGTCAAGACCCCCTCCCCGCCCGCCAGCCGTCTCGCTCACTCCCACCCGCCCTCCCAACACATACGTAGCACCCGAGTTTGGCCCGAGCCTCAGCATATTCAGCAGTCGTCTTTGGATGGGCAGCTACTGGGTCCAATCCGCCGCCGCCGCCGCCGCCGCCGCCGCCGCCCGCCGCCGCTGCCGCTGCCCGTTGCCAAACCGCCGCCGCCGCCGCAGCCGATGCCGCCCCCGCCACCGCCGCCGCCGCCGCCGCAGCCGCCGCAGCCGCCGCCACCGCCGCCACAGCCGCCGCAGCCGCCGCCGCCGCCAAGTGTACCTTGTATTGTTTCTTGATAGGGATGGTGTGGGGGGGGGCCGCATCGGGTTGGCTGTGCATGTTCCGAATTTGGAGGCAGAGTGTGTGTTCATATTGTTTTTTTACAAGGGATGGTGGGGGGGGGGTGTCGTCATGGACCCTGGTTGGCCCCCAGTCGCCTGGGGGAGGGGGTGTTTACTAATAGGGAACAGTGATAAACCCCTCCCCGAAGGGGTAGAGGGAGGGGTGGAAGAGGAAACGCTCTAAACCACCGGCGCCCAGAGGGCTGGTGGATTAGCAGGAGGGGGGCTAGGGGCAGGAAGCTCGTTGAAGAACCGGACGGGCAGATCGGGCGGGCAGACCCGAACGGGCGGGCCGGGAAGGCGGGCTCAGGCGGCCAGGTCGAGCAGGCGGGTCGCTGAAGCGTGAGTTCTGCATGAATCGCGAGGAAATCTTTAGCGATAGCGCGGTTCACAAGTAAATCGTGGAAGCGGCCAAAGCGAGAGCGTGATTCCTAAGTGTCGAGGACGCGGCGTCTGAATGGATTGCGAGGAAGTCCCCCGCGAGAGCGCGATTCCTGTAGACCCTGTATACATTGTGAGGAAGTCCCGCGCGAGCGCGATTTTGGAATACATGATGAGGAAATATGAGGCAGGAACCGTTGTTGAATTGTCATTTCTGAAACATAATCCCACCAGCCCTCTGGGCGTCGGTGGTTTAGGGCGTTTCTCTTCCACCCCTCCCTCTTCCCCTTCGGGGAGGGGTTTACCCCTCCCCCTACCCCCTCCCCGTGGACCTGGACGGGAGGGGCGGGGAGGTGTCAGGGCGTCCAAAACGGCCTCGGCGAGGAAACCAAACTCATTGATTTTACTATGGTTTTGGCCCCATGTAGTTGGTTTTTTCGTGACATCTCGAGGATGGCGCGTCGCGCTCGCCGAGTCTTAGGAGGATTTCTAAAGCGAAACACTCGTTTCGCAGAACTTGAGCGGCCTGGGTGCCCCAGGATGCCCAGGTGGTTCTGGGGGCCCGAACAAAGCATAATTTATCTGGAAACGTGGCCCTAGGAGCGCAGACGCAGCGTAATTCACGAGGGAGCGCGGCCCTGGGAACGCGGACGCCGCGTAGTTTACAAGGGGTCGTGGCCCAGGGAGAGCGGACGCAGAGTAATTTACGAGGGATCGTGGCCCTGGGAGCGCGGACGCAGCGTAACTTACTATGGGACGCGGCCCTGGGAGCGCGGACGCAGTGTAATTTACAAGGGGTCCTGACCCTGGGGGGGCAGACGCAGCGTAATTTACTGGGGAACGTGGCGCGGACACAGTGTAATTCAAAAGAGAGAGCGGTCCTGGGAGCGCGGACGTAGGGTAGTTTACAGGGTATCGTGGCCCAGGGAGAGCGGACGCAGGGTAATTCACGAGGGATCCTGGCCCTGGGTGGGGAACGGTTCGTGGCACGTTTCCTGACGCGTCGCCTGGCACGTTCCGTGGCACGTTCCGTGGCGCGTCCTGTGGCGAGTCCCCCTGGCACGTCGCGGCGCGTCCCCTGGCACGTCCAGTGTCAGGTGCATTGGCACGTTCCGTAGCGCGTCCCCTTGGCACGTCCCGCGGTGCGTCCCCATGGCACGTCCTCTGGCACGTCCCCTGGCGCGTCCCTTGGGACGTTCCGCGGCGCGTCCCCCTGGCATGTCCCCCTGGCATCGCCCAGTTGCGTATGCAATTGAGGTCCTCAGAAACGGTTCCATGCCTCGCAGTTCTCAACCCCCCTCCGGGTTCGTGGGTCGATCATGTTGGGTTCAGGGTTTGCGGAGCCCGCCACGTGGCAGGGCTTCCGCATCGTGCAACACCACACCGCGCGGCGTGATGGTCCCGCACCGCCCCGTGCGGCGCTTGCACCTCGCTGAACGGCGTCACACGGCAGTGAAGCGACAAGGCAACGCACAACGGGAGACGGCATGACACTCATCACTTCGTTGCCACTTGCGCACGGTGCCACCGAGTAGGGCACGAAATGGCATGACACCATTCGCACATCTTGTTACAGCGTGCAACCGCGTTGCTAGAGCATCGCTGCATTGCGCGGCGTCGCACGCTAGGCCAGCACAGCGGCACACAGCATGCCGTCAAAAGGTACCACAGCGTGCGGCAACACTGGGCACAACACGGCGCCACCATATAGCACCCCGTGGACCGACATGGCGCCAGAGGGTATGGTTCCACATGGCATTCCACACCGCACAGTACCGTACTACACGACACCGCAGTGGCACGGCACCGCAGAACCTCCCATACAGCACGGCACCCTTAAGCACCACATGGCGCCACGCAGCATGGCGCGCGCTACACGGCAACACACCAGGGCACCACAAAGCACCACACGGCTTACGCCACACCGCACTACACCGCATCACACCGCACGAAAGCACACGCATGGCACCACACGGCGCCTGAGAGAAGGTTACCACACAACAGGGCTTTACGCGGCCCAGGGCCACGAGGCATGACATATCACACTTAATTTATGCCACCACATGGCACTACACCGCGCGGCATTGTGGCGCACGGCAGGACACGGTACCACACAGCGCAGAACCACAGGGCACCATTCGGCATAGCAACACACGGCATACCACCATGCGGTACCGCATGCCAGAACCATACACATCGCCACGCCGCACCCCGCCGCAAACTACTACACCCTGTGCCTGGACCCTGTGCCCTCCCTGACCAAGGCCCCTGGTCATGACCCCGTGACCCTGACTCTTGGCCCTTGACCTTCGGGCTCACGGCCGATCAAATACCTGAACCACTGCCCCCTGCGCTGATAGCTGCTACCGACCCCTCACGCCCCCCCCCTTCCACTTATCCCGCTCCCTCGCTCTGCATCCCTTCTCACCCCATCCGTTGGCCCTACTCCCTGACCGCCTGTCCTGGGTCCCAGACCTTGGCCTAATCTGAGTCTGTCTGCCCTGCTCTGCCCCGCCCTGCATGTCGCATGTCCGAGTCCGTGTCTGTGCCCGCGTGCTTGTTCTTTTCCTGCATGGTTCTCTTTCGTCGTGTTCACGTGACGCTCGTGGTTCATGTCCACTTAGACCTGTCCAGTGCATGTCAGGTGTACATCAGGTCACTGTTTTGCATCCGTCCAGGGTCGGTTAGGCGCTCACTCTCGCTCCCTCCCAGCGGTCGCGCAGCGCTGGTCCAGAAGTCGCGTGGCGCAGCCGCGCGATCGAATGCGCGCCCGAAGCTCGCCCGAAAGCCTCAGACAACGAGGGCGAAGCTAGGGCAGTGGCGAGGGCAAGGGTCAAGGGAGGAAGAGCCATCCCGACCCCGATCATTCGCGTTCGCTGAACGGCCCTGGGCGTTTACCAAACAGCTCCGCCCTGCTCGATTCCTTGCCCGGGTGCGTCTACTAAACGGCTTCGCTTGTCGGAGTGCTTATTCTGAGGGCGCCTGGGAGGGGGAGGGCGAGGGCGGAACCGCCGCACACCGCCGAGAGCTGTCCAGGGAGCCCTCCCCTCGGCGCCTGCGCAGCGGCCTCTCGCCGAGCGCCGCACGCAGCGACCCCCCCCCGGCGGCAGGAGCCGAACCGTGCGGAGCGGGGCTGCTGCAACAACTGCGGTCTGGCCAGGCCGGGGCCAGCACCGGGGACCTGCGGCGCAGGGTGCCAGCCGGGCGCCGAGGCTCGAGGAGCGGAAAAAAATCGGACTCGGGCCAGTGGTCGGCGGCGAGCGAGGGGGGGGGAATCGAGCAGGAGACGGCCTTCTCAGAAGGCGGTGGGGTTTCTCAAGAGCCCTCCGGCCTTTGAGATTTTTTTTGTGTTTTCGGGGAAGGTTTAGGAGACCTCTCAGAAGGCCCGAGGCCTCCCGAGCCTACTGAGAGGGTCTCCCCCTTGTCACTTCCCCCCTGGCTCGCAACCGAATGGGTCCTTTGCAAAGGGGGTCTCGAAACTGTGCGCCATGGTTCGTGCAATCGTTCGCGACGGAGGCGCACGACGTACAGTATCAGCACGTGGCTGCGACGCGCCGTGCGCCACAGGATAAGCTGCTGCATCGTTTTGGCGCCCCCATGACGAGAGACCCTGTTGGCAGGGAGCCAGACAGAGAAGAGGGCACAGGCAGCAACACTTTCGGAGGTCCGCGGGGGTCTCTCGGGGCGGCGCTGGGCCACCCCGCGGAGGCCGCTCCGGCGCCTCAAGGTGGCGCGCTCCGTGCGCCAGGGGAGGCGGGGTGCTCAGCGCTGGCCCAAGAAGTCCGGGCGGACCTCCGAAGGCTCCCCATGACAGTGCTTGCACTCAGGGGCGTCTTCTTCGTCTTCCATGCACGGTAGGTTCGCGGCGTGTCGACCAGCGGCGACCCCGCCGAAGGGCATTCCAGGTGGAACGCCGCCTTTGGCCCAGAATCTGCCTCTATAGAACGATCGGGCGATCGAGAAGCCGCCGATCGTTCAAGGTTGAACGATCCACGCGGTGTCAGAAATCAACGTCGGCGACGAGCGAGGGGGGGAAGTGAGAAGGGGCGGGCCATCTCAGAAGGCTCGGAAGTCCCTCCGCCTTCTGAGAAGTCTTCTAAGCCTTCCCGGAAGACGCAGAAAACCCCTCATAAGGCGCGAGGGCTTCTGAGAAGTCCCGCCGCCTTCTGAGAAGGCCTCCTCCCTCTCGCCTCCCCCCCCCGCTCGCCGCCGACCGCGCGGGGGCCGTCACGACACGAACCTGCCGTCCTTGGCGCGGTCGTCGTCTTCGGGTTTTCGCTGGGTGGCCGCCGCGTGGGTGCCCCGTGCGCCGGTCGGTCTTCCGGGTAGAGTTGCCCGGTGTTGCCGCCCGCGGCCGCCGGTCGGGTCATTTGCCTCGCGGGCTCCCCGTGCGCTCTCTGGCCAGTCCGGGTCTTCGCCCCGGGGCTTCCCGGAGGAGGCCCGCGTGTTTTCGCGTTGGACGCGCTCTGGGGCGAAAAGGGACCCACGTGTGTTCGCGCTTGATGCGCGCTGGGGCGACATGGGACCCATCTAATTTCACGCTTGCTGGGCTCTGGGGCGACAAGCACCCGCGTTGTTCACGCCTGTTCCACCCTGGGGTGAAAGGGGCCCGCGTGTTTTCACGCTTTCGCCGCTCTATGGCGAACGTGTCTCCCCGTGTTTCCGCGCTTGCTGCGCTCTGGGGCGAAAGGGTCCACGTGTTTTCGCCCTAATTGCATTCTGGGGCGAAGGGGGCCCACGTGTTTTCGCGTTTTCTGCGCCCTGGAGCGAAAGGGGCCCACGTGATGTCACGCTTGCTGCGCTCTGGGTCGAAGGACACCCGCGTGTCGTCGCGTATGTTCCGCGTTCCCCAGGCGGGTCTTGAACAATGGGGATCTGTTGAGGGTGTTTCGGGCGAAACGCGGGTCTTTACGTGCCCAGGCCGCCCATGCGGATCACTATCATGAGTATGTCTTGAGGACGTCTAGGGCGAAATGCCCGCTCTGCAGGATTTGTTCAGGATGTCTCGAGCGAGGTCCTCGCATGCAGCGAACGGCTCCTCCTTCAGGATGTGTTGAGGATGTCTCTCGCGAAACGTGCTTTTTGTTTCCAGTGTTTGAGGAGGTGTCGAGCGGGGGCCTTGCCGTCGTCTCGGTGCTTCTCGTCTCGGTTCGGATGCGCCCCTGGATCGATTCGTCCTACTTCGGAACGGAATCGCATCTTGAGTTCGAGCTGGTTGAGCGCCCTGCATGTTTCTCCCCCGCTCGTCGTGGTCGCGCTCGGGTCGCTCCGTTGCGGAACTGAATGTCTCGGGCAATGGCTGCGGAAATGCATCGGATCTTGAGCTCGAGCTGGTCGAGCGCCCCGCTCGTCCCGACTAGAAGTAGCCCGAGCTATGCATTCAGGCATTTCGAGCTTGAGATCCAAATCAGTGCGGCCACGATTCTGACGCCAAGGACGGCTTCCTCCACAATGCAATAGGGCGCGGCATGGTTCACCGCCGTGTGACACGTTGAAGTCAGCACAGCACGGCACAGCACGGCGCAATGCAGCACAGCCCGTGGCACAGTACGTCACGACCATTACTCTGAACCCCGGAATTGCCCGTCGCCCAAGTTTGACGCCTTGGAAACGAAGCCATGCTTTACATTTCTACATCCATTTCTGTGTTCGTGTGTCGATCATGCCTTTCCACCGATCTTCGGCCAGTTTTCTTGAATTTCTGCGCGCGCAATTCCTCGCCACCATCCCCATCAGCGCCATCGCATCGCCGCCGTTGTTGTCGTCGCCAATCGCCGCCGTTGCCACCATCAGCAGTCAATCACATTCATCGCCGACGCATGGACATCATCATCATCGTCGTCGTCGTCACCAGCATCGGCGCCGTCATTAGCCTTGCCGTCGTCATCGTCATTACGCCACCACCATCGCTCTTATCATCATCTATGCCGCCGTTGTCGGCGTCGTTCTGACGTCGCGCTCGCCCGAGCTACCGGCCTGCGCTGAAGTGCCCGCGCGCCAGAGCGGGTTTTGAGGCGCGCTCAGCAGTTCCCATCGGTGAGCGCCACCGCGGCCGCATCAGTTGCGTCAAATCAGCTGGCCGCTCTGCGCGCGAGCTGGCGCGTACCAGCGCGGCCGCAGAAATGCGCCAGCCAGTGCCAAGAAGTCGCCGCAATCGCGGCCGCATGGGTCTTGAATGGCAGACTGCAGTTGGGAGTGTTGGATGTCTGCGCGAGCAGTGGAGGTGTCAAATTTACTGGCGTTAGTTATGTTCACCCGATAGATTGCGCCACGCAGCTTGCACCGCGTAGGTTGCACCACAATGCTCGTGCCACATTGTTTGTCTGTTCGGCAGAAGAATCGACGCATCCACCTTCTCCCCCCCGGACTTAGCGGCGCTCCCAGGGGCGCTGCGAATTGCATCAGGTTCTGCCTCGTCGTTCGCTTCCCCGTGGGAATTTTATCATCCCAGCCATAGCGGTTCTCGCCCTCTCATCCTTGTCAGATAGTAGTGTGCGCGCGCGTTCGTTTTTTCTTCGTAACAGTCATGTTTCAATCCCCCTTGGAAGCAATATTGCACAACGTCCACACACATGCGCGCGCACATGCTTAAATTACACCAGACCCTTCGTTCCTGCAAAGCTTTCAACATACGCATACAAGTCTCGGTTTTCCACGGCAGGTCTTGCAATTTTTCTTCCCGCGCGCCTCTGCTGAAATCGCAGAGAAACCGCACGAGTCTAGCAATTTCGCCTAGAACCCGCAATCTCATTTTACCGCGCGCTGGGTTCACGTTGTTTCAGCACGCGCCCATTCAGCGCATTATCGAATACTACCGCGCGGGCCACACGCGCGTGTGCCGCCACACGCGCGTGTCGAAATCCTTCCGAAACCACTCGTTTTCGAAGCGTTTCAAAGTAGACCTCTTCAAACACGCATGAACAACCATATGGCCGGCAACACAACATATACCAGGGTGTTCGAATTTCCGCGCGCGCGCCCTTCCTCACCATCGCCCTCATTAGCGCCGCCGGGTCACGTCATCGTCATTGGCAACCGCCACACTTGCCGCCATCATAAATCAAGCATTTTCCTCATCGACACATGGACATTATCACCGCCATTGGCGTTACCAGCATCGGCACCGTCATTTGCCTTGTCGTCGGCGTCGTCCTCATCGATACCACAATCGCTACACTCATCATTTTCACCGCTGTTATCGACGTCATCATGGTACCGCGCCCGCACGAGCCACCGACCCGCATTGCAGGACCCGCGAGCCAGCGCGGCCTTCGACACGCTGTGGGACGTCGCCATCGGTGAGCGCCATCGGGTCTCGCATCGGTTGTGCCAAACCAGCTGGCCTCTCTGCGCGCGAGCTTGCGCGTGCTAGCGCGGCCGCAGACATGGGCCAGTTATGGCTAAACGAGTCAACGCAATCGCCGCCGCATGGATTTGGAAACAACAAGATGATTGCGCGAGCAGTGGAGTTGACTTTTCACGAGTTGGCACAAATGAATTCTCCTTTCTAAAAAAGAATAGGTCCTACCACCCTCCCCCCCCGGGGTTAAAGACCCCCTGGGGACCAAATGTAAGACACATAGGATTCTGACCCAATGTCCATCCTACCGGTGGATTCATATCATTCCAGCCAGACCGGTATCGGTTCCCCCTGTCATCTTCAGCAAAAGTACTATGCGCGCGCACTCGTTTATAGAAAATCACAAGCTTTTCAAGGGTCCCTTGCAAAAAAAAGAGAGACGGAGTGCACACGCGCGCGTCGTCGCTCGCGCACGCCGGAATCCTACAAAAGCTTGCAATTTCGGAAGGATTTCAAAATCGAGTTTCCAACAAACATGCAAAACATACTACCAAACGGGCTTCGCGCGCGCATGTCGAAATCATTCGAAATCCCTTGCGCGCGTGCCGTTGCGAGAATCTTTTGCAAAACATGGGGCGAAGTGCGCACGCGCGCGTTGTCGCGCGCGCCGAAATCCTTCAAAAACTTTTGGTTTCGGAAGGATTTCAAAATCGAGTGTTCAAGCTACATACAAAAACACAGGGTTTCGCAACACGGATTTTCAACCAAAGCGTGCGCGCGCGCTCTTGCGTCGTCGTTGTCTTCGTCGTCGCCGTCCTCCCTCCTCCCTCGTCGTCGTCGCCGTCGTCGTCCTCTGTCTTTCCTCGTCGTCGTCGTCGTCGTCGTCGTTGTCGTCGTCGTCGTCGTCGTCGTCTTGGCGTCGGCGTCGTTTCCGTCGTCGTTGTCGCCGTGGTCGTCCTTCCTCCCTCGTCGTCTTCGTCGGCGTTTCGTCGTTGTCCCTCCTATTTCGTCGCCGTCGTCGTCGTCGTTGTCGTCGTCTTCCCTCCTCCCTCGTCGTTGTCGTCGTCGGCGTCGCTGTCCTCCCTCCTTCTTCGTCGTTCGCGTCGTCGTCGTCCTCCCTCCTCCCTCGTTGTTGTCGTCGTTGCCGCCGTCGTCGTCCTCCCTCGTAGTCGTCGTCTTCGTTGGCGACGTCGTCGTCGGCGTCGTCGTAGTGGTCGTCGTCGGCGTTGTCATCGTCGTCGCCGTCGTCGTCGGCGTCGGCGTCGTCGTCGTCGTCGGTGTTTTCGTCGTCGTCGTTGTCGTCGTCGTCGTTGTCGTCGTTGTCGTCGTTGAAGTCGTTGGAGACGTCGTCGGTGTCATCGTAGTCGTTGTCGGCGGCGTCGTCGTCGTCGGTGTCGTCGTTGTCGCAGTCGTCGTCGGCGTCGGTCTCGTTGCCAAGTGCCATTTGGTACCCACCGTCACGGTCTTAAGAGGTCTTGCGACCAAGTTGCGGGTGGGAGGGTGGGATATTTGCACAAACAGTGGAGAGGACAGCTTCAAGTTGAGCAAGTGATTGAATTCACCTCGAAGATTGCACCGCGTATATTGCCCCCACGTGTGTGGTACGCATCAACTTGCACCACATGGGTTGCACCATATAGGTTTCACTATACTCAGATTGCACCATCTTGGTGTGTATGTGTATCAGCAACGTATACGTTAAATTTGCACCGCATATATTTGCACCGCGTATATTGCATTTCATATATTGCACACCAGTGTGCATCATAAAGGATCCGTGTAGATTGCACCACACAGCTGCCACCACAGAACTTGCACCACATAGCTGGCGTCCATAGCTTGCACCACATATCTTCCACCACACAGCTTGCACATCCCGTGGGCCATAACTCATTCTTTCGGGTCCCAATCGCCAGGCGTGCGTGTATATGCAGTTGTGATCCTCTGGAGGCGGTCGACATCCAGGCTGCTGCTGGCGGCGGCAACGGCGGCGGGGCGTACCGTCTGGAAGCAGAGGTAGGCGGCAGTCATGCTGCCGGCGGCGGCGACAGCGGCGGTGCACAGGCCGTTCGTCGCCTCCCCCTGTGCCTCCGCCGCCTCCACCACTACCTTCGCCTCCGCCTCCGCTTCCGCCGCCGTCGCCGCCGTCGCCGCCGCCTCCGCCCCCCGCCTCCACGTCCACCTCTGCCGCCTCTGCCACTTCTACCTCCGCCTATGGTGTGCCTGTGACCCCCTCTGGGACGTCCCAGAACCCAGAAAGACCCCCGAGAACCCCCGGGAGTTCCCTGATCCTCCCCGTCCGAGCCTCTAAAGACCCTCTCCCCTTCACCTGCCTCCCCCTCCTGCCTGCCAGCCTCTCTTTTGCTCTCCCCCTCATTCGAGAGGTCGTCCGTCGTCTTTCTCTTGTGCAGCTCGCACGCCAGGTAGCCGCAATCGCGAGGAGGGTTCCACAGGGTCTTCCCCGCTGACGGGGCACAGTCGCGTCTCCACCGAGTGCCCCAAGGAACGCCCCCCCGGCGGGCCTTCGCGAGCAGCGCGGCCCGATTCCATATTGTCTTATCGCAGAAGCGCTCTCATCCCCTGGCGTGCGCACCCCTCGCAGCCGCCTCCAGCGTCAGTCAGTCAAGCCTGGCGCCCAAACGGCGATTTGGCAAACAGAAATGTCAGGTCAGAAGCTGTGCAACTGTAAGGCGCGATGGCCATGGCAAAAGCATCGGGGTCCCTGTTGGGCCCGTGCTAAGTCCTCCAAGTTGCGATGGCGCGCGGTGGCGAAATGGGCGCATCACGACTGCGAAGCAGAAGGCACAAAGCGTATCACGACTGTGATGCAGAAGAATGAAGCGCCCGACAGTGAAGCAGAGGAGCACGAGGGAAGAGGAACCAAGGAAGAGGCGAGGAAGGATGACGTTAGAGCCGGCGTCCTCTCCCGCGGGCCGCGTCCTCCAGTACGCAATTGGATATGTTCTTCAGTCCGCGGGCCCTGGTGGTCTCGACCCCTCCCCCCCGAGGGGCAGTGCTGACGGCCCCGTGCCCGTCACTGAGGGCCCTGGGGCCCAACAGCGGCAGCAGCGCAGGCGTGTCCCGCAAGCTGGCGGGGCCCTGCAGGCCCCTTTCTCCTCCTCCCCCTCCCCCTCCTCCCCCTCCTCCTCCTCCTCCTCCTCCCTCCTCCTCCTCCCCCTCCTCCTCCTCCTCCTCCTCCTCCTCCTCCTCCTCCTCCTCCTCCTCCTCCTCCTCCTCCTCCTCCTCCTCCTCCTCCTCCTCCTCCTCCTCCTCCCCCTGGCGCGTGCCCCCCCCGCGCGCCTCCCCGGGCGGCGGCAGGCCAGAGGCCCCGGCAGCGCGGCGGGCGCGCGGGACGTGAAGGCGGCCCTGGCGCAGAGGCGTGCGGCCGGCCTTCTCTGGGCGGCGCGGCCAGGGGGGGACGAGGACGAGGAGGAGGAGGAGTCGCGACCCCATGAAGCGACGCGCGGAGTGCAGGCAAAAGAGAGGCGGCGGCGGCGGCGGGAAAAGCAGAGAAGGGCGCAATCGATCACAAAAACACTCGGGTCCCCAGGGCGCTCAGAGCCCAGCCGAGGCTTCACGGCCACGCCAAGCGAACCCGAGAGGTGCCCAGGGCCGAACGCCAGACACCCGAGACGGGGCCAACGAGGCCCCCGCCCCAAGAGAGCCCCAAGGGGGCTCACGAAATTGAGAGTAGGCCTAGCCACTGGACCGCATCGTCCGTGACCAGCAGCCTGCGTGGTGGCACGATGGCCTGGGACACCCTCCCCTTCGGGTGGATGCCCTTCATAAAATTGTCCCTCCGCCACTTACGCTGGGGATTGCCCGTCAGGGCGGCCTCGGGGTCGCACTCCCAGAACAGCTGGGTCCTCGCCGTCCTGGCCGAGAAGGCCCCGCATTGGCTGCACCCCACATGATCCCCAGACAAGTACAGGGTGTGCCCCCTCGCGCTCTCGGGGGGGACCTCTCCCGAGCGCGGGAGAGGGGCCACAGGGACCGTCGCCGCCGCTCGGGAGGGGGGCGCCCCTTTCGACGCGCGCTTGACACCCCGAGAGCTAGCCGCCTGCGCCGCCACCTGAACAACTTCCTGAGGCCTCTCGGGGGCATCAGGTCCCTCGGCAAACGAAACCCTCGAAAAACGACCAGAGGGCCCAGGCGGCGGCGGCGCAGCAGCGGGGGAGGCGGAAGAGGAGGAGGGGAGGTCCGACAGAGGTCGAGGGCGAGGAGGGGAGGGGACACGGGGGGATGGGGCGCAAGACCACAAACCACGTGCCATTCCCTCGGACCCAGGACGGCTTTCCTCCTCAGCTGTAGTGGGGGCTCCGAAGGACGAGGAGGGGTCAGTCGAAACGAGGGAAGGGGTCCCACGAGGCCGAACTCCCCTGAGACAATCCCCATCGCCGTCGTGAGACCGCCGCCTACGAAGTCCCCGCGAGTCGCCATCATCCTGGGGGACCCGCTCCAGGCTCGACGGGGGGCCTTCCTCGGCCGCCGTCCGACGCCGTTTCGAACTGGAGACCTCGGAGGTCCCCAGGACTCCCAGCTGCCGCTTCCCGAGGGAGGCGTCGGCTGGGGGGGCCCGAAAAGCCCTCACAGGGCAAACCTCACGTTGAAGCCTCCTGAGGCCTCTGGCGTTTCGCGCGAACCGAGGGCAGTGAGCACATCGCCACCCCACGGTGGCCAGGATGGGAGAGTGAGACTTTCCACTCTGCACAGGGGCCGCGCCACGCGGCTGGCTGCCCGCCTCAGCCGCCTGGGGAGCGCGTCCGTCTCCACGACGGCTGGTGCAGCGCTGCCGCCGCGCCTGGACCTCCACGCGGTCCGCCAGCAGGATGGCGGAGGACTGGGCGGCGCCGATCCAGCCCGCGGTCTGCCTGACCGCCTTGAGGAGGCGCCCGTGCTCGTCGTAGGCCACCAACGGGACGCCGTGCAGCCGTGTCCCCTTCTTGGCCGCCACGTCCGCGAAGTCGTTGCCGATCTTGTCTAGACTGTCGGCGCCTGCCTCGGCCAGGGTCTGATGGGCTGCTACCCATGTGACCTTGAGCGAGTCTGAGATGCCTCCATGATCATTGATCGCCCTCCAGATGAGCCGCCAGAGGTCCGCGTTGTCACGGCGGACGTGGCAGCAATGAGCTTCTCCGTACTTCAGCGATTCGACCAAGCCAAGGCAGTCCGTCTTGATGTGTAGAGGAAGCCGTCCGTGTCGGAGAACCTGCAGTGCGGCGTACAGCTCCCCGCGTTGGGCCGTCTGCATGGGCCCTGGCAAGGGCCCGAACGCCATGCCCTTGAGACGGCGTCCCGTAAGGATGGCCAGTCCCCAACCAGCACGGTTGGCCTCAGGCCAGTAGAGCGGGCACTGCGCTGAGCCGTCCGTGTAAACAGTGCCCGTGATGTCCATAGCCTGACCTCCCATGCAATACCACCACCGTTGTGAATCCACAGGCGGCGGGATGTCGGGCAGCATCGCCCTGGGCATGAGAGCACGAGTGAAAAAGGGATCCGCCACATGCGACCTCTTTGCCATCTCAACCAGCTCCTCATCCACCGCACGCGATCGGGCCTCTGAGTGATAGGAGCACTTCCAGAATCGGTGATGCAGATCCCCAGTCTGTCCACAGCGCTGACAGGATGATGTGTCCGAGTATCCCATCTTGTGAAGCCGCAGCTGAGACCATTGGGCACCGATGACCGTAGATCGCAACGCACCTCGAGCCTGTGGACTGAGATTCCATGTGGTGGCGTCCTCGGGGACGTTCATCATGGCCGCGACGGGTTCGATCCAGTATCCGCGAGGGTCTCGAGGAGGCTCAGGATGTTCAGGAGAGTGAGACGTACGCTTAGCCCAATCTTCCCATTGCACAGACCTGAAACTGCGCCTTGCCACAGCGCGTATCCAGTTGGGGGCCATGTCTTCCAGATCCAGTGTCATCCCGTTGCCTGTGTGCCATCTGCAGTATGTCAGCGGTCTCCAACCCAGCCGTCGAATCGCCAACACCACTGCACTGGCTGGACCCGCAACCATAGACCAGGTCGAGGTGGTAGACTGAAGGCGCAAGGACTGCAAGCGCCACGCACTTTGTAGGACTGCCCGTGGTACTCGTGCGTCGAAGACCAGCTGTGCCCACGTGTAGATGGGCTCGACGACGGCCATGACCTCGGGCTGCAGGTGGGGCGCCGCCTCCAGGAATGAAGCTAGCATCGTCGAGGAACCAGTTGGTGTCTTGCTCCATCCCGTCCTGACCAGTCCAGTCATTGTGCGTACCGTAGCAGGAGGTGCCCCTACCACCTGGAGCCCGTAGGTCATGCCAGGGGCAATGCACGGACGAGCGATGCGTTTCGTCACCTGGGCCAATCCTCGTAGGCGGCGGAAGCGCGGGATCCTGGCCTTCATCTGCCTGATGCGCTTGTGGACCTCAGTGTACCTGAGACGCGCCCCCGCACGACACTCCAGGCCCAGGATACTCAGCTTAGTGACCGCGCAGAAACCATGCTGGGCCAACCGCGATGCGACCGACCTGGCGATGGTCTCCGTCGAGCCGAGGATCTTGGCCTTGTCCTGAGCGATTGGCAGCTGCAAGGCGGTGAGGACGACGACGAGGCGGGAGATGGCCGCGACCGAGTGGGCCACGATCTCATCCCGCGGCATCGTGATCTGCAGCGTAATATCGTCGGCGTAGATGTCGAGGGTGTGCGGGATGTCCGCGAGAGAGGCCTGGTAGACCTCAAAGGGAAGCATCATCACCAGCTGGAGCAGGAACATTGCGACCGAGCAGCCTGGGAGAACGCCTTGCATGGCGCGAGCAGCGAACGAGTAGGTGGAGCCCCACCTGATGCGCCTCGGGGCTGCATACATGGAAAGAACTGCCCGTAGGAGTCCTCGTGGGAACCCAAATCGCTGGGCCGCCTCGACCACCTTGTTCCAGTCGACTCTGTCGAAGCACTTGCTGATGTCAACCATGGCCGTGATGATCTCGTCCCCTTGGGTGTGGTCCGCGGCCTCCGCATAGACCATGGTCCTGGCCCCGACGTCGATGGTGGAGCGCCCCGCTCCCAGTGCGAAGAAAGGCCTCGTGTTGTCAGCTGCCCATCGTCGTACGTGGCCTATGCGGATCTTGGTGTAGACCCTGTAGAGGGACGAGAGAAGCATGATAGGGCGAAAGCCGCCTGATGTCTTGGCCAGCAACATAACGTGAATCATCAGAGTCGGGGTGGGCCACCTGCCCCAACGCTCTGCCGCCCAAAGGAGGTACACCATCATAGCGAGGGCCTCGTCGGTGAGGAGCGAATAGGCCCGCGGTGGCATCATGTCCGCTGCCAGGCCTGTGCGCCAGCTGAAGGACATGGATGCCCTGCGGACCTCCGCCACAGTCGGGACTGGCAAGGTCTCCGTCGGCAGCTGGCTGATGGCCTTCGACAGCGTGTCAGTGGCGTCCATTAGGTGGGCCACGGCCTGTGAGTCGAACTGCTCGCTGTCGGGTAGGTGAGAAGTGAGGGCAGCGTCGCCAAAGACTAGCTCCTTGGTCGCTGGCGAGGTGACGGGCGTAGCGTTCCAGATCTCACCCCAGTACCGCATCTGGCTGTCAGCGACTGCCTGCGGCAACGAAGTGCGGATGCCGAACGCGTCCACCTCGTTGTGGGCCCATCCCTTCAGCTTGGTCATGCCGAAGAGCGGCGCCGCGCCAGTTACCAGGGAGTCCTGGGCCCACCTGTGGAAGCTGCGGACGCGCGCGTTGCCTGCGTCGCGCTCCATGCGGTGCACGGTCTCGGCCACCACCATCTGGAAGCCGCGAAGGACGACGATGCACCAGGACTTGGAGAGCTGTACGGCGTAGTGCACCACGGGCCATGTCCAGTCGAAGAGCACATGTCCAGCAGGTGTGTGAAGGTCCTGTCGATGACCTGGACGCGTGACTCTGACAAGGCGTTGCCACCGCCTGTCGTCACGGACACCCTTCTCCAAGACGCGGATGAGATCCGCGATGGCGACCTCTAGGTTCCGCAAGTAGCGTGCCTCAGCTCCCGCGGCGGGCTGGCCCTGCCTCGGAGGGCCACCGATGGGTCGCCACACGTAGCGCGGAGGGGCGCCTCGCCCCGCATGGGCCTCAGGCTCCTGGATGTTGTAGATGTGCGAGAGGTCCGACTCGACGAAGCTCATGAAGTTGGAGTAGAGGTCGTCCAGGCGCTGCCTTGCACAGTCTGCATCAGTAGGGATCCCGCGTGCCGCGTCATGGCGGACGGCATCGAGGTATGGCTGAGGCGGCGGCGCACCCACCAGGGGGGAAGCGCCTGAGTACCGCGGCGCCTGACGTGGGAAAGCTCGCGGAGCCACCAGATGAAGCTGACACTGAGCACGCGGCTTGGCCTCCAGCTCGAAGCGCAC